TTATAAGCAAGGTCAAGTTTTCCAGGAAGATACAACCATCATATTAAAGGATTGATATTTGGCCCCCTTTCTCATATCTCTGTATTTATATCTTTCATCTGTTTTCTTGCATTATTGTAATCTAATGGCATTGTCCAATGTGCTAGTCACTAGCCACATGTGGCTATTTATGCTTAATTTAATTGAAGTAAATGAAATTAAAAATTCATTTCCTTGAAATAAGTTCTAGTGGTCTACAGTAGTGCTGGGTACCTATAATTAACTATAATTTATTGTGTGTTTTCAAATGGCTAGAAGAGAGGAGCTCAAGTGCTGTCATTCCAAAGAAATGATAAATGTTTGTGATGATGAATATGCTAATTAGCCTGATTTGATGATCACACATTGTATATATGTGTTGAAATACAACTACGTACCCCATAAATAAATACAATTAATATGAGAGTACTTCAAAAAGGTCATGGAAAGATTTGCATTATCTTTCACTTCTCTTTTTCCATGACTTTTTTGAAGTAGATTGAAATACAACTACGTACCCCATAAATAAATACAATTAATATGAGAGTACTTCAAGAAGGTCATGGAAAGATTTGCATTATCTTTCACTTCTCTTTTTCCATGACTTTTTTGAAGTAGCTTTGTACATCAAAATTAAAAAATAAATTTAAAAAAATTTCAGTTCCTTAATCACTTTAGCCACATTTCAAGTGCCCAACAGCCACATGTGACTTGTGGCTACCATATTGGCTACCATTTTAAAACATTTCCATCATCACAGAAAGTCCTATTGGACACTGCTGCTAGAATTTTCAGATCAATGTTAAATAATAGTGATGAAATGGGTTGTCCTGATTTTTTCTCTGTAACTTTAAAATGAATACCTCTTAAATAGTGATTTTTTATTAGAATGATATTAAGTTTTGAATTTAAATATCCAGATATATTTTTTATGTTAAAGAAGTCTAACCTTATTCCAGGTTTTCAAAAAGTATTAAAAAAAACTTTGAATAGATCATGAGTTTTAATACCTTCTTGGCATTAATAAGTTTTGCTATGTGAGAGGCAAAACTTTTTTCAAAATTGTCTCCACTATCTTGGTCCCTTTTAATTAGATTGCTGGATTTTGTTTGCCCATATTTTATTTAGATGTTTGTCATCAGTTAGCTTGATCTCAAAATATTCTCTATTTCTAGTGTCTTAGTCCAGTGTTTCTAAAAGTCAAAATTATATTATCATAAAGTAAATTTAAAAACTTCTCCTTATTTCTTTTCTGTGGAATAGCATATATTAGATATGGGCCATCTGTCCCTTAAAATTTGGTAAAACTTGGGTGAAAAAAATCTGGGTCTGGTGCTTTGGTTTTGGGGGATGGGATTTCCTCTTATCTCTCTTCTAGTTGATGCATTTCATCTTCATCTGTGTCTAACTCCATGAATTGTATTTCAGTGAATAAATTCTTTCAGATCTAGAGTTTATACTCGGTTCTTCTGCAAATCTTCCCTGTTGAGTATTCTTCCCCTATGACCTGTTTGATCTCTTTACACATTTTAAATGTGCTTACTTTACATTCTCTTTCAAGTTGTTCTGTAATCCTCTCTTCTTGCTTGTTCTCCTGTTTCTTTCATCTGTCTTTATAAGGTTTGTCATTTTGTTTGCTGCAAGAGCACTGTAGGCTTGGGTTGTGTGGAAGGCTCCTACAGGGTGGACGTGCATGGCCTCTGCAGGGCCACAGGGGTGTGAATGGTCATGCACACATTTTGGGGTTAGTTTCTTGACTTGGTGCTCCTGTATCACGTGGGTGGTGTAACATCGCTATACCTGTGGATTCTGTTTCCCTGCCTGCTTCCTTGCCCCATTTAATGTGTAGTGCAGCTCTAGAGCCTGATTTCTGTAGGGGCTCCACCCTTGCCCGCTGCCTTGCACAGGCCCAAGATCTGGTGTCCCTGCGTCTCATCAGCATCAGGATCAGAGCCTGCTGACACCAAACCTGGAGCCCCATGGCGTTGCTTCCTGCTGACGTTTTCATTCCCTTTTTGTTTCCTGCATTTGGGGATCTCCCCTTCCTTCCTTTGAGCAAGGCCAAATGTTACAATTTTTTAAAATCATACTTTAACCGGAATGTTTGGATCTATTATATTGACCACAAGTCCAGAAATTGTTTTAGATTTCTAAGTGGTTGATATGGTTGATTTTATTTTTAAGCTAAGGCAAGGAAAGTGGGAAAGAAGAAGATATTAACTTATGGTTTTTACTTTCTGGTTTTATTTATCATCTAAGAATATATCTGAACAATTTCTACTCTTTGGCATTAACATATTGGCATTTTATTTGTGTCTCAGTGTAATAAATTTACTCTATATCTTTAATTTTTTATTAATAAGCTCATTCAAAGACTTGGGAGATCATATTAATATCTCCCACTATAAATATACCTTTCAATTTGTTCTTTTAAAAGTTTTCGCCTCATGCAATTTTCTACTGCATTATTTATTAAAGGCCCAGAGGCCTGTATCATGTTTGAAGTAGACAGAGCCACAACAGCCTTTGCTCCATCATTGGGCCTTCAGTTGTTAATCTTTTTTTAATGATTAATAATAGCACTTATGTTCTCTTTTAGTTACAAAATGTAATGCAGCATTTAGGAAAAAATCTTGAAAAAGGAAATATGAAATATAAAGATAAAAGCAGATAACATTTTAAAACTTGGGGTGTAGACGTGGGGGAAGGAGAATGGGAAAAGTAAAGGAATCTGAATGTGTTTTATTTTACAAGAAGGGATCAACAGAGGCTGTGACATTCATAAGGTAGACAGAAAAATGCAGATGTGAATGTGCTGCATTTTAAAATTTGTTTATCTTTTCTGTCCTCCACAGGTTCTTGTTCATATTATTTACTGAAAGGAAATGAACAAGTGAATTAATAAATGAAGATGAAGTGGTTTTCTCAAACTCTAATTTTCCCCCTTATTTAGAATACTTTTAATAACTACGTGGGTACTTCAAGCAGTTCATGAAAAGATTTGTATGATCTTTTAATTGTATTTTTCCACGAACTTTTCAAAGTACCCCCATAATGTTTGAGTGTGGAGTGTTGCTTGCAGTGTATAACATGATCAATTAACTGCCTTCATCTTCTCAAACTGTTAGCACTGTGCTGGAAGCACAATTAGGTTTGTGGTTTAAGCCAAACCCCTACCCCAATGGCTTTTATTTCTTTTTGACTATGAATGAGATAAGAGCCTGTGCATGTGTCTGCAAGTACTATGTATCAGGAAANTTTTGACTATGAATGAGATAAGAGCCTGTGCATGTGTCTGCAAGTACTATGTATCAGGAAAAGAAGAGAAGAGGGAGAAAGAAGATGGGTTGGTTTCCCAAGAAATAAACTTTCATGGAGAAGCTGGAAAACAGGCCTTCAAAATGTCGCTCTGCAAATCTGTAGCACATTTGCATTACGTCTTCTCTTAACACAGCATCTTGCGTAACCTCTCAAGCAATGGCGTGTAGGGTAGGTTGTCCTCCTCCTCACCCCACTTCCATTTATCTTCAGGGAGGTGGGGTCTGAAAGCTCACTTGCCCGGCCAGTTTTCTTTGTAAGGTGTTGACACCTTTGGGTTGAACCCTCAGGAGTTCTGATCTTAGCCTTGGGACTTTGGTTAAAGAGAGAGGGAAGGTGCACTACTTGACATTACAATTGAACCAAGGAACAAAGGAAGAACTCTGCAGGGGGTACACGTCCAACTTCTACATTGTGACTACTCAAGGATATTGCATAATGTTTTCAAATAGCACATACCTTTTGGATATATGAGAGTATTGCCAAATGTTAAGAAAACTAACCAAATGTTTCTAATATTTGGAATTATTCCAAGGCCAGGAATTCCAGATGTTTGTGAGGAAGCCACTGCATATCTCTGTTTAAATGTTCAAGTGGGTTTAAGATGTCACGGAGGAAAAAAAGGCACACCCCTTAATTCTTCTTTAAAGACAGGATGCTACCTCCTCCCCAGGGCTATCAGGAGGACAAAGTAGTGTGAGTGGTTAGTCAATAAACGTGCATCCTTCTGTCCTCCCTTCTCTTTATACCTCTCAGGGCTGTTGTGGCAAAATGATGTGAAGCATTTAGAGTGCATAGCACGGTGGAAAATGCGGTGCCTTGCAACTATTGTTCGTCCCTGCAGACGCAGAATCAATAATTATCTGTGCGGTGGGTGTCAGACACCAATAATAACCAGGACTCCTGGAATCCTTCTCCCTTGACCAATCGTTCCCATCTCTCCTGGATAGCTGCATGGTTGCACATCTTTAAATTAGGAACTTGCCTGCTACATATGTCTCATGAAGGGTACCAATGTTATAATTCACTTTTCTCACGAAATGCTCTTAGTTTTACTTCCATATTCCTATATTTCACGTAAGGTATTCACCACGATGAGAGTTTCTTGGCTAACTCCATGCAAGAATCATCCAGACTGAAAGTGTTCCAGAATCTACACATGCAAGCCTAATAGTTTGGCTTTTGGTTTATTCAGGATTAATAAATTTAAACCATCTCTTTTTCACTCTTACCCTTGAGAGTCCCCAGTACTTTGTTAAGAAACCTCGAGCTTCACAAGCCCTACCTAACCAGCACCAGCGCTACCACCTGAGAGGGAAGAACTTAGCAGATGACAGCGGACAAGGAAACAGTGTCCTGCTCCCTTGTGATGGCTGGCACAGGGCTGCCGCTTGTGGCTGTGTAGGTTGTAGGGGGGTGGGAGCTCAAGTCCAGCCTTGCCCTGCTCACCAACCTGGGCTCCCAGGGGCTGTGCCCACCCAGGGGAACGCCCTTTCTGATGGGAAACAAGGCCCTGGAGGCCTAGCTCTGCCCCTGCTGGAGGCCTTTCCAGCAGGAAGACTCTTCTCTGCCAGTTTCATGTGTGTGGCCCTGCTGGAAGATAGGGCTGGAGATTCCCCTCCCTGTAGCAGGCAGAAGAAAACACAAACTCTGCAAGGACTTACTGAGCGTGACTGAGTCATTGATCCTGAAGCTGCAGAGGACCCTGTCCACGTTGCGGGCGTGTCGGAAGCCATTTCCTCTCACGACGACTTGAAATGATTCTGAAAGGAAGAATCATGATAAGACACGTTACTTGACCATTCCTTAAGATTCCCATCTGCCCAGATTTAGAGCTTTTGATAACTATTTCACCAGGTTTAAAATATTCCAAAATTAGTTCAGGTTGGAAACCCAAAGCAGCCATGTGGGTTCCTGCTACCACTCACACTGACTCACTCTCACTAGGTGTTCATGATGGTGTGTCACTGCTCACTCTGAATTCCACTTCTCGCCTTTGTTCTTGCCGGCCCTCCTGCCTGGATTGCCTTCCTTCCTCCTCTCTGTCTACTCACATCTTATCCATTTTTCAAGTGCATCTAGTTTTTAAAATTGATCTCTACAGCCAGAGGGAGGCACGGGGGTGGGATTCTCCACTTCTTCAATCAACTCAAGTCCTCTTGTATCTCTTCTACATAAGGGACTCTCTCAAAAAGGATTTCCTTAGAGCCCAGGGTGACTAAAATGTTTTGAAAACCACCATCTTACAGTATTCGCAGCCTGTCCTGAATAATATAGCATGTAATTGTGTACTGTCTGGCGGTGTTCTTTTGTCTTTTCTCCTCCAATTAGAAAAGCATTCCTTTAGGTTGGGAGTTGTTTGATGCTGCTACGGCACTCCTGTCTCTGCTGGGCACACAGTAGTAGTAAATGGGTTCATGTAGGAATAATTCATTGTATTGTTTATCTATGGAGTATACTAACATTTATAAAGCAAATGTATTTCACAGGACCTAGTTTCCAAAGCCCTGGAGTTTCAGGTTTAACCTAACTTTTTAAAATTACATATAGAAATGTCAAGCTTGCAAAAGACAGGAAACTTCCGCCAGGCTAAAGTCTCTGTTGTAGATAAAAAATTGTAATACAGCAAAATTGCAGGCTCAAGGACAGACGTCCTTGGAGCAGGTTAACCTAAAGTTACTTTATTGTTA